CAAATGCATATGCTCAGTAACAGATGGCACATACATTTTCCATTTCTCATCAGACAAACAAACTCTAAAGTCCTGCGCAGTTGTCTTGTCAAACAGAGACTTGTTGAGTGAGTGTGCGTGTGCTTCTTCATTTGGTGCAGCTGTCAGCTCCACATTGCACATAAAACCCTATGACCAGATGCATCACTCAATCTCTCCCCTTTATATAATGCACAGGCCTGGCAAGTGGCTCTTAATATATTCTAGGCACCTACGCTACCTGGTTCATTGGACATAATCCAGCCCCACGCAATTCCCTAATTATCAAGTGTAATATACAGCATTTTAATTGCAACTGGAATCACACTCAGAGAGCATAAACCTTCAACAATGCCCAAGACACTGACAGAGGTGTTGAATTAATCCTTTGTTACCAGATGTGAAATTATTGCATGTGGACAAGTGTAAACTGAACAGCAAAAACTATTTAGAACCCTTTAGTTTCATGATTGCAAACAGGTGTTCTGAACAACACAACTACCAAACCTGCCCATCTCACTCAGACTAGGGTAGTTAATGTATTTGGAAAACTGTTGAAACTCATAACTACACAATGGGTTAAAAAGATGAAAGACTCAAAGGAAGATTAACTGATAAAGAATTCAAGATTTGGTTAACAGATGTTGTGAAGGTGGAGACAGGGACTTGTACTGGAGAGCCAAAACAAATATAACACAATGATTTAGACTACAATAAATGTGCACAGAGATAAACATCATGTGAATAAGACAAGCAGAGCAGCATCCTTCACAACTTAGATCAATAATTGATTCAATCAGTTTTTTCTTTTTACTGGTAATGGTATCAACCCAGTTGAGCAACTAACTAACACAACTGATTATCCTCCCTTCACCCGTCGTCTATCAGTCCACAGCCTGAATGCAACTTGTTGACCAGGCCTGAGGGACGAATGTTCTGCATAGGTAGGTACTACATTTTCACAGCTGAGAGCTCTACCATGTCTCCCACTAGTTGATTTAATCACAGGGGGATAGGCACAAAGCACAAAGAATGTAAGCTTTAAGATACAAAAGAATGTGAGATGCGTGTGCATGCAGATTCAGTGAGTGTTTTTCTTGTTGTACTGTCGACGGACTGACCACTTATGTGTCTTCTGCTGTACTATTGGTTTGGGCAGAGTACTCACATAAGTAGGATTCCATTAGCCACTAAAAGGTACACACCCACAGGGCAGAAGTTATATTTCAAAAAGAGATGTTTAGGACCGGAAACACTTATAATTTAAAACAAGAAAAACAACTTTGTAGTTCATATGACAGTATGCAACACTTGTTTCTGATTGACATCATAGACCCCTTGTGTTATTCAGACATATGAACTGAGAGATAAACACCAGGACCTTGTTTGTCACTACACTGACCAGCTTCACAGGGGCGATCACAGGTCAGCCGACTACAACACAGGAAACACTTGAAACTTAGGAGATGGCAACATTGTCTATGAATCCTGCCACAGTGTGGTGTGTTATGTTGACACATGAGAACTATGGTGTCACCTCAACACAATTTGTGTTCAGACAAGTGTTTTGAAAACGTTGGGTAATCCTGCACATAACAAACACGATCATTAACACTTAGATCACAGCAAAACAACAAACACACGCTCCTGTAATCCCACACAGAATCAGAGGCTCCTTATTTATAGCAATAGAAACTTTACCAGGTTAGCGTCCATCTTTAAGTTGACTAACCTGGCTAACCTTGCTGCTAACTAACAACTGACCTACTGGCGACTAAATTAAAAACACTTGAGGAAAATAAAATGCGTAAAGTCGGCTGTTAATAGCTAAACTTAACGTTGTTTGGACATTTACGCTCCTGACGTTAACTTGCTAACTCTTTTTAGCATTAGCTAGTTTTGGTGAAGGGTTAACTTTGACGTTACGTGTGAGCCCCAACACACACAACACAGTTTACTAAAGAGTTTAATAACACCACAACTAGACTTCTCAACGAGTTAAAGCACTTCATAGTGTTCAAACAAGACAACGCGTTTCTCGGTTTCTTTTTCGCGACGTTTTCCAGCTAGCTCGAAGCTAGCGCAGTTCAACTCCAGATACTGTCAGCTAGCCTGTTTAGCTATGGGCTAGCGTTAGGAGGGTTAGCTAGTTTACCTGGCTCGCTTTGTAAAACTGCTTCTTAAATCCTGCGACGGACATCTTGCACCGTCTGTGTTGTTGCCACCTGGAGCTCGGCGGAGGGGACGAGGTGTGTGTTTTATAATAGTCGATGTGAGTCTGTGGTTTACAAAACAAACAGCAGCAGATCGGCGCGACTGCAAACTTTGCACCGTGGATGAGAAAAACTTGCTAAGCAACCTCAGTTTCCTGGAGAGGGCTGCGTGTGGGAGGCTCCATCCTGGTGGACTGAAGTGGGTCAACACACACGCACACACACGTTTGCACTCGGATCTTAGTGAGGACACTCATTGACATACACATACACTTGCCAGCCCCAGCCTCAACCATCCGAACTAAACGCCTTCCACTAACAGTCCACTGGAAAAGTGAGGACTGATCCAAATGTCCTCACTCTGAGTGTAGTGTTGTCCTCACAAAGGTTTAAGTACAGGATCACACACTTGTCTTTAGCTGCTACTTTAGCTTATTTGTAATAAACAAACAGCAAAACATTTTGTTCATTTTCTATTTGTAGGAAATTTGTAAAAGGTAACTGGTAATTTATAATAATGTAGCTCTGCAACATAAAGGGGTGGGGGTGTTTGAGTCCACAAAACACTTTGGGAGTTTCAGGGGTAAACAGTGTTGCAAACCAAATGCAATACAATTGAAGTAATAATGACCACTTCCTCAAATTTATAAAAATAAGAAAAAAAACATGCAGTGGCTCCATACTGCTCCTGTGGTGTCATCCAAGTGTCTGTAAGCCCTGATATCTATATTCAATTCAAAAGTGAGTACATTTACACCATGTTTTCAGCCAACGCAGTTCCAAAGGAGGATCACAGTGGACATTTATGCTAAAAACATGGTGTAAATGTATTGTTTAAAGTCGAATTTGAATCTCGGGGCTTATATACACTTTGATGACACCACAGGAGCAGTATGGAGCCATTGCATATTTTTTAAAACATTTGAAGAACTGATATACTGTATAGTGGATCTGTTTTATTGCTACTGAATTATACAGGCAACAATTACTGGTATTGTTTTATGCCCATTCCTGACAGCAAATCCTAACAGTTAAAATGAATGGCATGGATAGAAAAGAGTATGCACAGTGTAATATTAGATGATTTTAGAGATCATCTGTTAAGTTAACATGCAGAGACACACTGTACATATTTGCTGATATGAAAGCAAAAAGAGACTCAGTGAAACATTTCAAAAGAAAATGAAACAATTTATTACATTCTTAAAACCAC